ATTTTCACCCAGATTTTATATGTCGTATTCATGTCGACCACATTGTGCTCGATGTTTGTGTTGAATGTTATCATATCTGATATTAATATTGCAATTTCCATGACTTTTAAGGCGATTATTAAAAATTATTTCTATTGCAATGATTTCCCCCGTAATGTTAAAAATAAACTTAAAGTATGTTTTGCTTTTTATTTCTATTATTAATAGTCTTAATCACAGAGCCAATTAGAACCCAGATGAGGGTTTCACATACAACGTACACATACACTCATGTGTATGCTTTACACTCATAATGGGGGGACAGTTTGCCGCTATGTATACATTCTTATAATGTATTGCCATTGCATTTCATGTGTACGTTGTATGTGAAACCCTCATCTGGGTTGTAATTGGCTCTGTGGTCTTAATTGTAATTTTGTTTAATTATTACTTTTATAGTTAATTAATTGTATGGAAAGAGTTAGCAATAAGTATAAATTGATTGGCTTTTCGTGTAGTAATCAATACGTTATCACCAGAAGTGTTGCCGCAAAAGTAAATGTTTATTCATTTAAATTAAGTATTATTAATATTTTGTATAATGTATTTATTTAGATGTTTTTGCTGTTCATCCGATTCTTTCTGTTGACCACAAAATTGGCTCACAAATTGAAAAATAATTATAATTAATAAATAATATTAGAAATTATATGTTATGCAAGAGAAAGTATTTCATTATATATTATTTATTTATTGATTACGTAATTAAATAAATAGATTAATAGATATCAATGTCTTTGACACCGGATTTATATATAAATAAAACAATGTAATATTTTTAACAAATATTATTATACGATAATTACTATCATTTTAATGTATTAATACGATTGCCGTAACACTATTATCAATATAAATAGTAAGTCTAGTAGACCACCTTGATGTTTTGAGATAATAATAAGCGTGGTAATAATTTAGTATATTGATATCAATTAACACTTTCTACCATTAATATAAAATTGGACAAATATTTGTAAACAAATACAGACTTTCACCAGGATGCTTCTTAATTTCAAACAAGCTCACTTAATTGATAGATACACTATGTCAATAAATAAACAATATTAGTTTTGTATATAAAGAGGTAAAATTACAGACAATTAACTCATAAGCAAAACTAAAAGTAAAAGTTTTAACTGAAAACAAGTTTTATTTAAACTCTACCAAAACTAACAATGCGTTCAACGATTGCCTTAATTGTTATGGTTTTAGTGATGTTCACAATTGGTGAGTATTAACACAATTTAATTATGACCATGGTTAACATTGATCAATTCATACAGGTGAATTTAAGCATGTGGATCAACCATTTTCCATTCCAATCCTAAAAGATGTTGATGAGTTTAACGACTATATTGAGGGTAATTTATTATTAAAAATATAGTATATTTAAATATTGCAACTAACATTCATTTAACATATGCAGGTATTAACGCCACATCGATTGAGCAAGGTGATTCAAATGGTTGCTATACGTGTTCGAGTCCCTGTGCGATGATATACTGTTGCTCCGGTCCGTACCCCCAGTGCTGTGCAGTCGGCGGCCGATGTTATTGTTGCCGTTAGTGCCGCACCTGATTTGGTGCCAACTTGGTCAATTCATTAAATGCTTCCCAACTTGGTGGATTAGTTTTATTGTAAACTAAACCATTATATATTTTAATTATTATAATAATTTTAATGATGTATTAGTGTACTTTTATGATTATAAATTCTATTATAAGGTTATTAATATAAAATAATATAATTTCGTTGTTAATTAAAAATTAATTTTTCTTATTAATAAACAAAATAATTAAATGAATTGTAAAATTTAATTAGTTTTTTCTAAGTATTATAATAAGGTGAACCAATGTAAGTATAATTATATATTTTATAAATAACATTTGTTACTTTTGCAAATAATTAAAGTTAGATTTTATTATGGTTATGACAATGAAGTAAATTGAAAAAAACAAAACAAATTAACTTATCAATATTTTGTGATCTAAAAAAATAAAATAATTGTTGCAAAGACCATGAAGTATTGAATAACGGTTTTATATTGATTTTATAATGCTAATTTATTCTGTAAATATAAATAGTTATACAGTATAATATAATTATTTTATTATTTGGAATTTTACCAAAATGGAAAGTTTTCAATACAAAAATACAGCTATAATTTTAATTATTAGTTTTACTATTGAATTAAATTTTAATCTAGTTTATAAATATAAGCACTTATATTTAGATTGTTGCTTAACATTTAACAATTATACTTTTATAACTAAAGTTTTTGCACAAATTATTTAAAAGAATATAAGATGTTTCACAAGATTTTTACCTTAATGTGTTTAACAGTGTGTTTGTATCAAATTTCATTAATATGTGACATATATTTCTCATACAAAACCACAACAACTGTTAATTACGATAAATATTCGGTCATTTCATTGCCGGCAATGACTGTCTGTTTTGATAAATACAATGTCTTAAGGAATGAGTTTAAGAGACAATTGTTGGTCAATACGAGTGAAAATCGAGACAATGAGTTGGCATATATTGTGGGAGATTTGATGCAAAACTTTACGATTAGACAACAGTTTGAAATGCTTATGAATTATAGCGAGATTTTTGATGAATGCCATGCAATGACACCAAAAGCTTTTTATAAAAATGTTAAAAATAATAATGGTATAAATAATTCACTTATTAATAAACCCTATTATTATAAATATTACACACAATGCGAGACAATCAGCGATGTTAGCAAATCAATTGATTATTACCAGTAATAACTATTTCTCTTTAACTTTAATAAATTATTATTAATAAAATTAATTTAATTATAATATTTTATTATAGGATATGTTTTACATTCTTCTCCCAAACAGATGGCAAATCCGATGACAACTTTGAGATCGAGAATAATATGATAAACAAAGACTTCAAAACTGATGTAATGTTTGTGCGCTTACTCTTAGATAAGCAATCATTTTATGTCACACTTCATGCAAGGGATCAACTGATTAGCCATATATACAAATCGCACTTAAATGAGTTCCCAAAAAGTCCCATAACCAACGCTACCAAACATTTCATAACGTATAACAAGATTGTCATCAATTCATTACCCAAACCCTACGAAACCGATTGTTTGATATATAAAACAATAGGGTATAAATCACTAACTAATTGCATAACAAGGTGTCGGATAGGCTTATATCGGGACGGGTGGCCGGATGTATGGCCTGGAAACTACTTGGCATATAATCAGTCATTGGATGTGAACATGTTTGACATGTATGACGATATTCTTAAGCAAAATATGACTATCGATGAGGTATTGGGCCGTAAATGTCGGTCACATTGCGGTTTGAAAGTCGAGTGCCGGCAAGTGATGTACGAAACACATTTCAAACCCTTTTCCTACAGTTTTCCCCTCAATTATATCATATTGTTTGAGTCACACACCCCGGCCCTAATCTACACACATTCACCCATGATACATTTTGCAGAGTTTGTCTCATACATTGCATCCTATGTTAGTCTATGGTTTGGTTTCTCTGTCATAATGTTGTCAAATGTTTTGCACAAATGTTTTAAAATTGTTTGTCAAAAATTTGTCGTTCATTTTAACCTAAATCATTGCAGTACTGCTATTAATATTAGTCGCCCTTCATTTGCCGTAAATCTACATATTAATCGTCAAACAAATGTTAGCAAGGTCTTTCGTAGAGTTAATTCAATTATTTAATTTGTTATTCAAGAAATCAGAAAAATTATTATAAATATAATTAGTGTATTTAATATTGCAATATACATTTAATAATGATTTTATCATTGTGATCATAAATTACTACATTATTATTTAACACATATTTATTAAAACATGTTAAATAAAATTTATGTGTATTAAATATAGTTTAAATTAAAATAAAATAATTTTATTGACTCAAAATAATTTGTCTTGATACTGCATTAGTACAATTGTAAACTAGAATACTATATAGTTAAACAAGTTCCAAATTGTTAAAAATTTATTTGAAATAAGAATTTTTGTTGAAATTTAAATCTGGGTTAAAATAATGGCAAAAAAATTTATAACAAAAAATAATCAATTTCTAATCTGTAAAAAAACATATACAGAGTTATAATTCATAAAACTATTACTTAAGAAACAGTTTTCTCTCGTTTTCTCGGCGGACAGTCAGCCCTTCAATCACTCGACCGCCGGCTTTGTTATACTTAGCGAACGAGTTGGCGGCCGCCGACCAGTTTTGTACCTTGATACCTTTTAGTACATCTGATGCCTGGAATGTTCCGCAGCCCATGTTAAATGTAAAATCCACGCACTATGCGAGATAAATAATAATTTTAATATTACTACTGTGTAGACAATGTGTAAAATATCTACATTAGATGAATTTATATCTAAACTAATGTGTGCACTTACGGCATCAAATTGGTTCTGGTTGAGTCCGGGCGCAACCTTGTTTACACAATTTTCATATTCAACAAGATCCTTTTTCAACAACTCCTCGCCCTGAGCCATACTGAGCGGTGGTTTGATGTCATTGCAGTTGTTATGCCATTTACAGCAGTGTCCGTAACCGATGGTCTTCTGGCCCTTTTAGTCGTCACAAATTAATTGTCAACTTTTTGTATGTTTTAACCATTACAAGAAATTGTACGGCAAATCACTTACAATCTGGTCGTAGTAGAAGTCAGGTCTCCAGCCTTCAGAGAATTTGATCAAGTCCAATCCAGCTGAGCCTGTTTTTCTACCGGCTGATACATAAGCTACCAATGCGAACAACATGATCAATTTTATGGTCATTTCGCTTATGGTTATTTTGTTCTTATTTGTTATAACTCGTAATAATGTCAGATTTAATTTATATTATTTAGATGTTATAATTGCATCGACTTTATATACCAGAGAGAGAAAGAGAGAGAGAGAGAGAGAGAGAGCAAATTAAATATCCTATTATGCATTTCACTAATGTTTGTTTGCCGTAAACAATTATGGTAAATGTTTTAAATATGAAATATTGTAATTAATAATTAATATAAAAGTATACATCAAGAGAAAGTATTTTTATATATATTTAGTAATTAAATGTTTAATAAATTGATAGCAATGTCTTTGACACCGGATTTATATAATAACATTACAAATACAAAAACAATACAATATATAACAGTACGTAGATTTCAATAAACAAATAGTATTAATATAAGATAATTATTATCAATTTCATGTTTTAATTGTATTACTGTAAAGGTATTAACATTATTAACCATCTTGATAATTAAAGAGGAACGTGGATAATTACTTTTACATTAATATCAATACTGTATATTGAATAATGTTATATTTTATCTGTGATAGGAAGCTTTGTTAAATTGACCTTACTTAAAGTTTAATTAAAAATATATAAATGTTCATAATTATAAGTTAATTATTGCTAACAAATATGACCAAGTTAATACAAATTATATAAAATTTAGATATCAACTATCTGTTAAAAAATTATAGTAAAGTTAACCAAAAGTCAACAGTAAAGTCAACAAATATTACATACTAGGATTTTTATCATTGTCCAACAAGATCATTTACTTGGTAGATAAAAGTGCAAATAAATAAACTGATTACAAGTTTTGTATATAAAGAGGTAAAATTGCTGACAATTAACTCATATTGAAAAACATTAATAAAAGATTTAACTTAAAAGTGTTTTAATACTAAATCTACGGACACTAACAATGCGTTCAATGATTGCCTTATTTGCTGTGCTATTAGTGGTGTTCACTATTGGTAAGTATTATTTCTTGCAAACGAGCATGTTTAACAATTATTATTTCATCCAGGTGACTCTATGAATGTTGATCAACCATTTTCCATTGTCGTGCTAAAGGATGCTGATCATGTTGACGACTATATTGACGGTAAATAAATTTATTCAAACATAAAATATTTATATATAATCTATATAAATATTAATTTAATATATAAATATATAGGTGTAAACTCTACTTCAATTGAGCAAGGTGATTGCGATGCAAACGGATGTTATACGTGTTCGAGTCCCTGTGCGATGATATACTGTTGCTCCGGTCCGTACCCCCAGTGCTGTGCGATTAAAGGCCGGTGTTATTGTTGCCGTTAGTGCGGCTATCAATTATTACCGACACTCAATTAATTATACTATTATTAGTAAATGTACTCAAATATTATATGATTATCAAATAAAATTCAATGATTATTATAACTTATTATATACATAATTTATTTACTGTATTTATAGATGTTATTTACATATTATTTGCATAATTCATATATTTCTTTATTCTATAGGTTATACTAAATCTAAATATACTAAAGGTAACCTTATATAAAATTAGGTTTATGTAAATAAATATATTAATTATAACATTGCATACGCAATACATGAGTGAAAAATGATTGTTATGTTAAAAAGCAGATTATTCTTAGATTTGACATTTACAATAAAACTAAATTATATAAACTTTAATTTATTTACACATACTGTAGCTTATGTGACCTAGAATATGTCACATTGTACATAACAAATGTATTATATTAATGAATTTTAATGCTCAATAGTTCTCAAAACTTAATAGTATGCATTAAAATTAATTATGCATTTACATGAGCACATTATTAATTTATTTTACTATTAATAGAAAACTATATACAAGTTTTACTATATATAAGTATAAAACTATGTATAAAGTTTACATTTATATTCAACATGAACATATAACTTTAAATTAACTTTATATAATTTTTAGTTACATAGTTCCAGTTATATAATTATATAACACACAACAAAGTCTATAAAATGTTTATGCTAATTTCAAAATAATTTACAATTATAATTGGACATGGATGAATTTAAAAGTAGTGACATAGAATTACCACTTTATTCATACGGAATATTCTACAGGTTTGAAATAAATGATAGGTTTGTTTCAAACCGTGTAATATTTAAACAAAAACTCAAATGTTTTGCAATATTAATTATAAACATGATGAATTTATCGAGATTCATATTTTACGCATATAAATCTGAACCTGGTGTTAATTTGCCGATATACTACTGCGAGCTCTATCAATATTTTACGACAAACAAGGAGTTTATGTATTATTGTTCGTGTTTGAGTTTAACCATGATTTTATTATTCATTTACTTATTAAACAATTCAAATAAAACACACTATAAATGGTTTGATATAATCGCAGCCATTGATGGATACAAAACATTCAAATCAATTGATTTGTACGACAAATGTTTGGTAGAAAAATATATGCATTTAATTAAAATGCTATTTTTGTGCATTAAATACAGTTATATAATGACTATAATTATGACATTCATAACAGTTATTGTATTTATTATCATATATTTTACTGCTAATTACTATAGATTAATGTTTGGTGTATTGACGGGACTATTGTGGGAATCAATGATTATTTTTTCATTCCCTGTCCTATGGTTTACCATATTTTATTACCTAATGGTCTGTCTATATGTTAGGTATCGGATAACTAGTTTTAAACACACTTTAATTAAGTTTACAACAATTAAGCTGTTTTTTAGGCGAAAAATTGTGGACAAAATATTTAGAGATCACAACAAACTTTGTTTGGATATTGAAATGCATAATAAGTTTTGGCGAAATATCTATTTTGTGTTTTACTATTCAATGATACCATTGTTGGCACAATTGATGAGCATTTACTTGTTTTCCGATACACCCGTATTGGCTCAGGGTATTTATTTGGTGTTTATTGGAGCATCAGTGTCATTTATGCTGATTTTGAATTATATCACTAGCGATATAAATCAAAAGATAGCCGAGAGTTTTAAACATTTATTCAAATTTTATAATGAGATTAATGATAAAATAAGTGTAACAAAGAAGATAAAGGTATGAAAATTTAATTACATTATAATAAATAATTTATTAAATATTTAATTATATTAGTTATTGTTTAATAGCTATTGAATAGTATGTGTCGAGTGAGTGATCGAAACAAATTGATTGGCTTTTCGTGTAGTAATCAATACGTTATCACCAGAAGTGTTGCCGCAAAAGTAATGTGTATTTTATTATTAAATTGTTTATTTATTAATTAATTATTAATTTATTGTTTCAGATGTTTGTGATATTTCTGCGCTTTTTTCTATTGGCCTCAAAATTTGCACAAAAGGCTCAAAATATTTCATAACAATTGATAATAAATAATTATTTAAATAAAAGTATTGTTATATGATATTATATAAATTATAGAATTTTATGTTAAGAATCATAACATAAAATGATCTATCATTATGATTCTAAATAAAATTAACTATATATTTATAAATATATATTAGACAATGTTCTACAATGTTGCTTATTTAAATCATCAATTACATTGGGCATTTTTAATGATGTATTAATAATACAATATTATTAAACTTACTTTTATATGTCAAAATAGATGTACACTAATATTGTTTAATTATGCAAAATTATATTAGTGTTGTATAAAATTGATCGGTGACGCTAATACTAATATTATTTTCATTTTATATATTTGTAATTTTGCTGTATATATCTTGTAATTAGTAATTACTAATTACAATATTTGTTAATATTAACTGCAAAGAATAAAATAATATAATTATTAATAATAATAATAATTTAATATAAATAGTTTAATGATTTTGTTTATACAATATTTTTATTATTGCACAGTTTAATATATGGCTATAACGGTATTAGTATTCAATTATACATAATAAGATAGAAAATAAATAAATATGAATAATTTTTCGCAAACTGACATAGAGTTGCCATTATATAAATACGGACTGTTTTACAGGTTTGATATAAACGGTAAAATTGTGTCAAAAAATGTATTATTAAAACAAAAATACAGAGTATATTTAATAATTACAATACTCACCTTAAATATAATCCGGTATATGTTATACACGTACAAATCAAAACCGGGTATTTATTTACCTATTTATTACTGCGACCTATATCAATATTTTACCCCGAACAAAGAATTTATGTATTATGCTTCTACAATAGGTTTAATAATGTGCTTGGTCATAATTTATATATTTAATAATTCTAACAAAACCCATTATAAATGGTTTGATATAATCTCAACCCTCAATGGATATAAAATATTTAACTCAATTGATTTGCAAAACAAGTATTTAATAAATAAATTTAAACATCAAGTTAAAATTATATTCATGTTAATAAAATACAGTTATACATTCACCCTGATTACTACATACATAATTATGGTATTATTTATTTTACTATATTTTCGTGACACGGGTTTAATTATTTACGGAATATTTACTGTATATTTGTGGGGTAATATACCAATATTTGCATTGCCCTGTGTATGGTACGTAAGTTTTTATTATATTATGGTATGTTTGTATTTAAAATGCCGATTGGTACAATTTAGTAACAAATTGTGTAAGTTTTCATCACGCAAAATCTTTTTTAAAAGAAAATACCTTGATCAAACTGTTAAATATCATAACAAACTTTGCTTGGATATTAAAATGCATAATATGTTTTGGAGAAATATATATTTTGTATTTTTCTATTCAATGATACCATTGGAGTGTTTAGTACTTTACACATACCTCTTTGATGATCCCATTCCCGCAGCCCAAGCTATTTATATAATATTTTTGTTAGTGACCCTGGTGTTTTTATTTGTGTTAAATGTAATTACATCCGAGATTAATGTGAATATTTCAAAGACTTATAAACATTTATTTAATTATTATAACTTTACATCCGAATTGAACAGCGCTAGAAATAAAATTAAGGTATTTAAAAATAGTTAAACTTAATTAAAATAATTAAATAATTGTATTTTGAAATAGCTATTGAATAGTATGGGTCGAGTGACTGATAAATTGATTGGCTTTTCGTGTAGTAATCAATACGTTATCACCAGAAGTGTTGCCTTCAAAGTACGGTATTTTGATATTTATTTTGCAGTCAAATCTATATTCCATTATAATATTTATTATATTTTATAACCAAAACAGACTTTTATGTTATTCATCCGATTTTTCTTATTGACCACAAAATTTGCACAAAAGGCTCACAAAATTTCATAACATTTGCTGATAAATAACAATTTAAATAAAATTAATGTTGTATTATATAACTTATAAATTTTCATATTAAAAATCTTAACTTAAAATGTTTGATCATGATTACAATACATACTTTATTCTGCTTACAATAAGACGTGATTTCTGGTACCTTGATCATTTTTACCATGTTTACAAGCCTAGTAGTTGTATTAGAGTATATAAATAATTAGGCATATATTTACCCTAGACTAGACTCATGATTAGGCTTGCCAACTCGTACAGGTCTGCCTTGATTGTCAAGGAATAGGAGGTTTTGTCAAGGTGTAAGGCGAGGGTCTTTCCTTGACATTGTAATGTCAAGGAATGTAAAAATCAAAAGTTGTGCACTTTTGGTATTATTTTTTCGGGACCTCTTGTCCCTTAACATTTGGTATCTTTTTATACATAATACCTTATGGTATAACACCAATAAATGGGAACATACCTGGCTGTATGTAATACCCAGCAATATGTTCCCATTTATTACTGTTATACCATAAGGTATAATGTATAAAAAGGTACCAAATGTGAAGGGACAAAAGGTTCTGAGATCATAATACTGTATGCAAACATTTTATGTAATTTTACAGTGCATTGTTTTGGTAATAAACAAATATGAGTATATACAGCTTTATAAAGTAAACACATTTTAAAAATAAAGGTATTTAAAATAATTAATTTTTAAATAGGAAATAGGACAAATATTAAATAATATATTTATGTAAATTTTATCGAAAACCAGAAAACTTCCATTAAAATCTGCAATACAAATGTTGGTCAAGGAAATGTCAAGGCGAATTCTTGAAATTTTTGAAATTTTCAAGGAATGTCGCGGATTGAGTTGGCAAGCCTACTCATGATTGTTCTAAATAGAATTGACTATATATATTTATAAATACAAACAGTATTATACAATATTCCACAGTATTGTCAATGTTTCTTATTAACATAATAAATTACATTGGACATTTTTATGATGTAATATTAAACTTTCTTTTATATGTCAAAATAGAGGTACATTAATATTGTTTAATTAAGCAAAATTAGATTATTGGTGACGTTAATAATAACATTATTTGCATTTTATGTATTTATAATTTTACGATATATTCTATAATATATTTTATTATATAATTACTAATTACCAAGACCGGTTTGAGGGAGAGCAGGGAAGAAATTAATTAATCGTGATTACTGAATGACCAAGTCAAATATTAGACTATAATTCAAGATAAGCGTTACTGTATTTATAGTCATTAAATACTCAAAATATTATATTTTTAATAAGTTTATTTAAATGATTTATTCAGGTTTATAATAAACTCGACTTTTATATTACTGCACTCTATCCATGAATAATATTTGAATATTGAATAAATTACAAAATAAAGTTCTATGATATTTACACAATTGTCTAAATTGAAAGTACAAATGCTAATTAGCATATTTGTTAATACTAATTATAAAGTATAATATTGTTTTATGTCTGTATTAAATAAATTAATAATTTTATTTGCTGATATATTCATATGTTTTAGTTTATTCAATAGTTATAGTAAACCAATAGTACGTAAAAATCACTAAACATGTATAATTTTTCGCAAACTGACATAGAGTTGCCATTATATAAATACGGATTGTTTTACAGGTTTGATATAAACGGTAAAATTGTGTCGAAATATGTGCTATTAAAACAAAAATTCAAAGTATTTTCAACAATCATAATAATCTCACTAAATACAATGCGTTATATGTTATACGCGTATAAATCAAAACCAGATATTGATTTACCTATCTATTACTGCGATCTATTCCAATTATTTACTCCGAATAAAGAATTTATGTATTATGCTTCAACAATTGGTCTAATAATGTGCTTGATCATAATTTATATATTTAATAATTCAAACAATACCCATTATAAATGGTTTGATATAATCTCTGCCCTTAATGGATACAAAACATTTAACACGGTTGGTTTGCAAAACAAGTATTTAATAAATAAATTTAAACATCAAATTAAAATTATATTTATGTTAATAAAATACAGTTATACAATCACCCTGATCAATACATATATAATTATGGCATTATTTGTGCTGCTATATTTTCCTAAAACAGATTTAATTATTTACGGAATACTTACTGTATATTTCTGGGGTAGCATAGTAATATTTGCAATGCCCTGTCTATGGTACGTAAGTTTTTATTACATTATGGTATGTCTGTATTTAAAATGTCGATTGGTTCAGTTTAATAGAAAATTGTGTAAGTTTTCCACATGCACAATATTTTTCAAAAGGAAACAACTTGATCAAACTGTTAAATATCATCACAAACTTTGTTTGGATATTGAAATGCATAATAAGTTTTGGCGAAATATATATTTTGTATTTTTCTATTCAATGATACCATTGGAGTGTTTAGTACTTTATATATGTCTGTTTGGTCATTTTGTTCCCGCAGCCCAAGCTATTTATATACTACTTTTATTAGTGACCCTGGTGTTTCTGTTTGTGTTAAATGTAATTACATCCGAGATTAATGTGAATATTTCAAAGACATATAAACATTTATTCAATTATTACAACTTTACATCTGAATTTACTAATGCTAGAAATAAAATAAAGGTATTTGTAACTTTTTTTAAACTTAATTAAAAGGTATAATTTAACCTTAAATTGAAGTAATTGTTTTATTTATTAAAAATTAATTTCTTATTTTAATCTTTTATTAATACTATTTTAATACTATTAATAATAATTTATAGTTATTGTATTAAACAGTTATTGAATAGTATGTGTCGAGTGAGTGATAGAAACAAATTGATTGGCTTTTCGTGTAATAATCAATACGTTATTACCAGAAGTGTTGCCTTCAAAGTACGGTATTTTGAAATTTAATTTTTTAATCCCATTTATAATAAATTAAAATTATTATTAATTTTTATAACCAAAACAGACTTTTATGCTATTCATCCGATTTTTCTTATTGACGACAAAATTCTCACAAAACGCCAAAAATATTTAAAATTATTACATTACTAATTAGGGATATTTTTAATTATTCATCACCATATTACATTTAGATGATGTTTCAATACATAAAATTATTAATTACTTGCATTGTCAAAATAGATTGTCAAATTTTTATAATGTTTAATTATTTACATCGGATTGTGCTACTCTTCTACCACGTAGCCAATTTACAAATAAAATACACAATGCTGGTATACAAATAAAAAGACCTAGTGCCACAATAATGGCAATAATGCCTAACAATATATTAAATATCCAAAAGGCGGTCAGATATAGGTTGCGATTACAGTATTTGTCTGACTCCGGGTCCTTAAAATCGGGGAAAACATTTTGATACACTATAATCACCACTAAAATAATCGAAAATAAATACAAATGTTGATAAACATAAAAGTGATAAATTAATTAGTTAGATATATAATACATACAAATTTTAATTGGTATAGCAATGATAATTCTCCAAACATTAATTATGGTTAAGCAAATTCGCGATCGTATGTTGCTTGTATCAGTAAATAAATTTATAAATGTCAAAACACCGCTAACAATCATTAATATTGGCAATGCTGACACTCCGGGACAGTCGTGTAAGTAGATTGAACCTGGTATAAATTACTAAACATGTTAATTATAATTTTCAAAATAATCAATATTTACCCATCACTATAAACAACAACTGTGCGATTAAGGCCGCAAACAAAATCAGCAGATCTATCTGATTGTGTATATAAATATTAAATTTGTATGGTTATATTAATTATGGTTAAAAATAAATACAAACACCTTTTCACCATACATTGATAAACAGTGCCATTGTGACCTGGGCCGATCATCACAAGCATGGTTGTCTATATCAACAATATTATTGTCTAAGTTTATATCACCCAGGGCCAATCTAGCTCTTGAATGAGATGTTTGAGACTCTTCATTAAAATCGATGCTAACCGATGTGTTTAATCCGTCACTCATTTTAACGTTAATATGAATTAATTATTATTTATAAACACAATATTTATTATTTATGATGTAACCAAACTTTTAATATTAAATTTATTTTCTTTGTTTAATTAAATTATAAATATTTTAAAATATTATTATGTTTATTAAACATTTAGTTTTAGACATTATTGATTAAATTATATAAACATCAATTAATTGCGTTAACTACTTCACTTGTTGTTTATATTTTACACCATCATTGATTGCATTAAATGCGTTAAACAATAGGTAATACCACTGAGATTTAAAACGGTGATAAATTATTACGTTATTCACATTTATAATAATAAGATATTTTATTGTTAAAGTATATTATCTAGTCTTATTATTTCTTATTTTAGCACGTACTATCTTAAAAATACAAATAAAAAAGGCAATTGTAAAATAAATGATCGTGATGGCTATTAACACATTGATTATCCAAAACGCGGTTAGATATAAGTTGGGGTTACAGTAGTTGTTGGACTCGGGGTCAGTGAATTCCGGGAACCGAATTTTATACACTATGGCCACCACTAAAAATATAAAGGTAATACACAAAATGGAAATATAATTAATACATTGGTTGTAGAGTACATACAAGTATCAATAGTGAAAAAGATTATTATTCTCCATATGCAAATCATGATTCCGCATAATCGACATAGTTTATACACCCTCTCCGTACATAATATTAATATGGTGGATGTAAAAACACCGTTTACTATTATTAATATGGGTAATTCGGGCGATCGTGGGCAGTCGTGTAGATAGATTGAACCTGGTTATCACCAGATTAAAGTTGATTAACTTTTAAATTTACTTTCATAATAATTAATATTCTTACCCAACGCTATAAACACTACGCTAATACACATAAGCGCTATAAATACCAACAAAACTAATTTCTTGTAATAAAAAAATATATTGATTAGTTAATAATTATTTAATAAATTTTATATTTAGTGGCAACTTGAACAATGTCAACTATAGACCGACAAATGAGCTTGTAAAAATATAAACTCACCGATCCAAATGGTAGAAATATATGCTCCCAGAAAGACCTAGAGCGGTTACTATCACCATCATGGCTCCGTGTGTCTGGATCACCTATGGTCACTTTGTCATCCGATTGAAATGATATAGTTTCTTCGTTAAAATCAATGTCACTCATTATAACAACAAAATCACGTTAATATCCATTCAACCAAATAATAGTTACAATATTATTTTACATGATTGCAATAAATATGCTAAGTTCTAAGGTATTTACTGGCAACATTTAATGATAACAAAAAAATACTAGATATAATAATCAAATATCCATGACTTATGAATTGCAATAAATAGTACTTCTAACAAACGGATGCCAATGAGAATTGATTAAACATTTCAAGTGTTTTTATATTTGTTGAAAATAATTTATTATTATAAATCAAAACTTCATGTTTTCCTAAATTTATTTCATTGCGATCATTTATTACGCTAGTTACATAATGATAAATAAAACTTATTTACTACATAGTTACAATTGTATTGTATTATATTATTAGAAAAGTATTGCATTTTGTGTGTGAAACATAACGTCTCCATTTTAGCAGTAGATTATTTTTATATTTATTTGTATACATAATTATTTATTTCTAAAATCAACTTTAAATTATTGTTAATTAGGTATAAATTTCATTATTTATATACAAGTGCATTAAATGTAAGTGATCATCATTATTGATTTATTATAAGTCTATAACATTTTTACAATAATTACATATAACTTAACTATTTTACATATTAATACATGTATATTTTCTGCATATCTGTGTTTTGTAATTGTTTACAAATCAAACAATTATCTCATAACTGGTGAAGAATGGCATCAAAAATTGGATCCAATGGTTATCCTAAGGACTCAATGGACAGATTGGGTGACGATTTGTGTGAAGTGTTGTTGTCTTACCTCTCATTTGAAGACCGATTCCGTTATCAATGTTTGTCTAAACAGACAAATAGAGTGCTATTCGAGAGACAAACAGAATTCATACCAGACTTTCTGCTAAACAATAAGTTATGCGAAAAATCATTTGAATCTATACTAAGAAAATGCAAAAATATTACTCGAATTGAATTAATGGTTGGTTTAATACACATCAATAATAACACAACACTTGAGTTAATTACCAAACATTGCGATCATTTGCGGGCCATTTATAACGGTGTCTATAAAGATATATCCGATGAGACTATTAATGCATTTTTCAACAAATTTTCACAACAATTGAAACGTATTGTCGTTTTCCCGGCCGACGGACTGAAGAGGAATCTAAGTCTTTGCGTAAACCTATTGGACGTTACGTTTTATAACAATTCCTATCAGTTAACCAATGGATTACACCTATTGTTACCGACAGTGTTTCAAAAGTTACGTAAAGTTTGCTTTAAGTATACGACCGATACTTTTCTACCATTTGTTAATAACTATAAAAATCAATTGAAATCATTGGATGTGATGCTCGACAGCAAGATATCCGATACAATAGCAATCAATGCACTCATCGCTGGTATATCAGAAATGCATGATTTAATTGAATTGAAACTCAATTTATTGAATATCAATAAACCGTTGATAGCGTTGACAACATTGCAAATGAAACAATTGGCCACTAATTGCCCGAAACTTCGCAAACTATCGCTAATTAAATGCAATTCAGACAAAAATATCGACGAATTAATGCAAACAATTGGCGATTATTGTAAGCGATTGAAACGTTTGAAAATTTATGGCAATTTTCCGCCAGAATATTCTCTACAGAAAGAAACTGCTGTTAAATGCAAACAATTAACGCATTTAACGTTAAAATCTATTCACAGATATTTCATAGTGAATGTGTTGTACGCAGACATTGGCCACACATTACCTAGACTTCAATACCTGGCTATAAAACCCATCATAATTAATGACAATATATTACGTGAATTGTCAAACTTGTCAAAAATAAATACTCTTAAACTTTCTGGTGGTAAAAATTATGACCAACAGACTGTCGAATTTTTGATGTTAAAATGTAGTAAATTAACACGAGTTCATTTAATTGAATATATTTAAATTGTTGCATTTATTAATTATTTAAATAATTTTATTTATGTATTTATAATTAATAATGCAAGAAATAGTAACATTATTACTACAACTGTTAATATAATGAATATAAGTATTAAACAATACTAATTATTTGAAAATAATTTATTTTAATAAATTAACACTTCATGTTTTCCTAAGTTTACTTTCATTGCGATCATTAATTACACCTAGTTACATAATGATAAATTATGTAATCAAATTATTTAATACTTCTTTACAATTGTATTGTATTATTAGAAAAGTATTGCAATTTGTATGCGAAACATAACGTCTCCATTTTAGCATTAGATTATTTTTATATTTATAACAAAACTATTAATTTCTATAGTTTTATAGACTCACACAACTTTTAATTATTGTTCATTTAATTTAATTATTTATGTACAAGTACTTAAAATGTAAGTGACCATGATCATTGATTTATTATAAGTTATAGTCTATACAATTTTTATAATTATTACATATAACTTAAATATTTTACGTATGCTTTGCATATCTGTATTTTGTAATTGTTTACAAAAATAATTATCTCATAACTGCTGAAGAATGGCATCAAATCTTGGATCCAATGGTTATCCTAAGGACTCAATGGACAGATTCGGCGACGATTTGTGTGAAGTGTTGTTGTCTTACCTCTCATTTGAAGACCGATTCCGTTATCAATGTTTGTCTAAACAAACAAATAGACTGCTATTCGAGAGACAAACAGAATTCATACCAGACTTTGGGCTAAATCTTAGATCAACTGTAAAATCATTAGAAAATATATTAAGAAAATGTAAAAACATTACTAAAATTCAATTTATATCAAATATGTTGAATATAACTAATAAACAACGAATTGAATTAATTATCAACAATTGTCAACATTTAAATGATATCTACATTAACTTAAACACCGATTTGTGTAACGAAACAATTGACACGTTTTTCGCAAAATATAGCAAACAATTGAAAACAATTGGATTTTTAACGCAAGAAATCGCCGAAAAATATCTCAATGTTTGCCAAAATCTAACGGAAATCAAGTTATACGACAACATTAGTCAAGTAAACAATTGCTTACATCTATTACTTGGCGCTAACAACGAGTATATGTACCGAAAGTTACGGAAAATTACATTTAAATATACGGCACAAGAGGCGAGTAATTTTCAAATGTTTGCCCAAAAGTATGCAAATACTGTACAATCAGTTCACGTAACCATCGATCGGGAAATTAATGATCAAAACTCTATCGATACTCTTACCGACGGTTTGGCGCAAATCATGTCATTAATTGATTTACAAATTAATTTAATTAACGTAAACAACCCTGGTATTATGTTAAACACTAATGGTATGAAACAAATAGGCATTAATTGTCATAACCTGAAACGTTTAGCCCTGGTCAACACCGACGCCAACGATAATTTGCCGCAAATAATGCAAACAATTGTCAATAATTACCAACATTTGAAACGTTTAGAAATTAGGGGTTATTTTCCCAAAAATTATTCATTCAATATTAAATCGTTAAATACGTGCAAAATGTTAACGCATTTAACAATCAAATCAACGCTACGTTTATACGGACTGAATGTGTCGTTTGAGAAAATTGTCTGTAATTTACCCAAACTTTCTCATATAGAAATCATCACAACGTTTGTAACGGTCGATGATTTAGACGAAATGTTAAAATTGCCAAAAATTCAAACACTTTTACTCAACGCACGACTCAATTGCATCGGTAAAGAGACAATCAATTTATTCAGGGATCGCATCAATAATTGTACTAAACTTAAGCGAATATCTATTGATTGTAATGGAAATAATATTTATAAATACTAAATGTGCCACATATTGTATAATTTTAATAAAAATAATAATTTAGAAAATTTTGCTAAATAAATATCTAATTATTGTTAAACATTTGTTGTGTGCCGAACGATCCTATAAACCACATTATTTATAAAGTAATTGTTAAAGCCTCTATTTTTCAGGAATAAAAACATATAAATTCGGACGGGAATCGGGAGCATAAAATAGTCAAATTATGTTATTTTGATATTAAAACAATAATTATCTATTTAAAAATATTTTTTATTAAGGGGGCGGTCAAGTGATTCCAAGACTGCGGTTTTCATTATATCTCTTAAACGAGAAGAGATAAATTGATTCTGTAAAAAGCATTCTATAGCCCCATATACGCGGGATCTGTTGCATAGGCGGTATTAAGGGGGCGGTCAAGTGATTCCAAGACTGCGGTATTCATTATATCTCTTAAACGAGAAGAGATAAATTGATTCTGTAAAAAGCATTCTATAGCCCCATATACGCGGGATCTGTTGCATAGGCGGTCAATATATTTTGGTCACGTGGTATACAAAATATGGGACAATTCGGAATGGGCATGTTATTGGCCAAACCATAAGAAATATAAAGATGGTCCCCATGGGTAATTTATAAAAGGATAAATTCTGCACACAATAAAAAAAGAAAATTATATTATATGCTAACATTCAATGTCCAATAAATCAATAACTATGTAAATAAGTAAATTTTATAAATAAACTTTATAACCAATTCGTACGTTACCCATTTATACAAAATTTACAATTAATTGTAAAATAAATGTTGGATGTGGTGATTTTTAAAAACAATATACAGCATTTATTTCAAATTCAATCTTACATATAATCAAATACTTTTAATTATTACAAAAATACTAAATTTTTACAAAATTATATAAACTTTATGCATTACAATTTTAATATTTGGAAATTTATAAATTATACACTTATTGTCAATATTTTGTAGTATTCATTTATTTATTTTGTTGTATAACTTGTTGTATTTATATAGAAATAATATCAGCAATTTATTTATTTGTCAAACTCATTTAATGGTTTATTAATATCATTTAATATAAAAATATTAGTTATGCATCTATTAATATATCATTTCTATTAATAAACAAATTAAATTTAGCACATAATCTACATGATACGTATAAATGTGCGCACGGTTCAATTACCAGACAGTACTTCACCAACCACTTCAAAAAATCTCATTGAATTAACATTACCGATTTTACTATTGCCAAACGTATAGACTCTATAGAGTCTATACTATAGACATATTCGTCCAGGTAATATTAAAGTTAAATATCATGCTTAGATTGCGATTGACAATTGCTTTGTACACAATTGTTTTGCCGACAGTACCATTTTGCTTTATTATAACCAAAGGCTACCTTATGATAAAGTATACCCAAAAAGCGACAATATATTAAAAGAACATTAATTGATTAATAAAATGTTAAATAATTATAATCAACGTATTTGTAATACAATGTGTTGGATTACGCTAGGTCAGTATTCGGAGTGTCAGTAGCGCAGAGTGAATGTTATTGCTCTAAATCATACTACAAATAATTGCTCTTTATAATAGTAATGTTAAATATGAATAATTTTTATTACACAAAGAAAATATTAATCTCGTTTACAAAATGCAACATTTTAATATGACATCATTATATTCAAAATACATTAATTATAAAGTTAGATAAGTTAACGTATATTACATCAATGATAGTTTAATTACTTGGTACGTTTAAACAAACGTACCGCTTGATTACGAGGGTGTATTTCACCGGCGCTCTCCATAAACCTTATAGAAACTGGTTTGGCATCACCATTAGCTCCCCCTGTATACAGATACTCACTCCACACACCAGGTGCAACATTAAACGTATCTTTACCTTTCACAGCAGAATTACCCACAGTCAACAATCTAGGTGCGTTCTCAGGCTGGACACCCTTACCAAATTCTAGGCTACCATTTTTAACACCCTCTGCCCGTATGTGGCCGTCACATCTGACCACGTGTATGCCGGCCACAATGTTTTAGGCTCAGCCTGGTCGGGCAGCTGTACATAGAGAAAGCCAATAGGCACTTGAGTCTGTTCCAACTGGGTGATTTTGGCACCTAGATCTTTCTCCAACGTGCCTATTTTACTAATTGCCCCGTCCAACATTCTACGACTGTCCCTGATCAAACGCGCCGTTTCCTGGTCCGACCACATCACCACACGCTTGCATATGTAACCATTCAACTTTGAGCATGGTTGATCTTCCCATTTACCACGGTTAACCTCGTCGGCCAACATTTCCACACAGTTGTCATTATTCACGGGTCGGCCGGACATCCAGTTCTCGTACTCACCACTACTCCTATCGGACCAAACAATGTGCTTGTCTTTGATGCTGGCGTCCAGCCATACACTCTCCACCATTTTGTATTTAATCATCATGTTGATTAAAAAATCTTGCTCAGCTTTTGAATTAATGGTGGGCAGGGATGAGTCGTTTAGAGCGTTGCACTCTTTGACCATCTTATGATAATCAGCGACACCTGAATAGTATTTATAGCATATGTCGTAATAGTCGTCGTGAAATATGTCCGATCCATCCTCGCAGACATTATCCGATGTAATGAGCTTGGCTAAATTAAAATATGTATATGTAATTAACTGTTTAAAATGTAAAGTGCTGTAATTTATTAAAATGTATTATTATTTTTGAGTATAAAATAGTATTTTTATATTAATGTTTTACATACGAGTAATGAATGCAAACAACAAAATTATGTAAATATTACATTGAAACATGGTGATGTAAATATTTTAATTGTAAAATAGTTATACTCTTAACAAGTATTCAGTTAGTTATACTAAGAAGGCGTTCAGAAATAAATGTCCATTTCGTCCATAACTTTCGAACGGATCAAGATAATTTAATTCTGTCGTCGGATTATAATAACACTAACCCATGTCCACATCTCACATAAAATTTATCAGGATTGATTTACATTAAGAGTATTTATTTTCAAAAAAACTGAGAAAAAAATTGCTCGAAAAATTTATTGGTATAGGAAAACTTTTTTCCTGATTGATAAAAGTCATAAGTGTTAATATAATTATGATAGCTCCACATATACATTAAGAGTATTTATTTTCAAAAAAAACTGAGAAAAAAATTGCTCGAAAAATTTATTGGTATAGGAAAGCTTTTTTCCTGATTGATAAAAGTCATAAGTGTTAATATAATTATGATAGCTACACATTTCATCTATAATCTTAATTAAAATTTTCATCTCAACAAGCTCTACTTTTTTATAATAAGGCGTAGAACCAAGACACATATAAGCCAAATTTAACTTTGTTAATTATATTAATGAGCTTTTTTAGAAAAAAAACTTTCTCGCACAGACACTGCATTCCATTGTCATTGTAAAAAGATCATTGAAAAAATTACAAAGTTTAATTTGGTTTATAAATGCATTGGTTTTAACTTTAATTAAAAAATAATCAGAAATTTCAGAGGTAAAATTATATGTTTAAATTTTAGAGGAGATGTGTAGCTATCATTATTACATAGACACTTATGACTTTTATCAAGCAGGAAAAAAGTTTTCCTATACCAATAAATTTTTCGAGCAATTTTTTTCTCAGTTTTTTTTGAAAATAAATACTCTTAATGTAAATCAATCCTGATAGATTTTATGTGAGATGTGGACATGGGTTAGTGTTATTATAATCCGAAGACAGAATCAAATTATCTCGATTCGTTTTTAAGTTATGGACGAAATGGACATTTAATTCTGAACGCCTTGTTATCTGTATACTAATAATTTTATTAACTAATAATTTATAATTTTGCTATTGATGAATAATATTTTCGTAACTGAAAATAAATGTTACCATTAATACCAGGGGAAAAATTGGCCCATCCCCTCATGCCTGACCAATCCCGCCTGTACCTATTTTTGACGATGAAATGCATTAAAAAAATCCTAACCAACTTACAGTTAATTAACCTGGAATAAATAAAATCGCATATGAATAGAAAAACATTGGGTATACGATAAAAAACATACAGTCCAACTTCTTCTGGGTAAACTTCTCTTGGATGAATACCTCCTCATAACAAACTGAATTGAAATATATGTTGGATTTCCTATACATATAATGTTAAAATAACCTCTCTTAGGTAAACTTCTCCATAATGAATACCTCCCCATTATTAACGGATTTATAGAGATCAAGTTAAAATGCCCACTGACAATAACAAACAAATATAATCATGAGCATATGATTTTTAAAATATTCAAAATATTTTTTAATCAAAGACTAAACAAAAGACTAAAACGCATTTTCATTTATAGTTTCATTCTATATTGCAAGAGTTGTAATAATTTGACTTTCAGCTTCATAAGTACAAATAATCACAAGTTGGACTGTATATGCTATAATAATGATAATTTTAATAAAATAGATATATTTTTGAATGAAACCCCAGATAGTTTATGTTTATTTAATGTCTGATCAAGTATATGTAAGGTAAAAGTGACATATTTCTTAGATTGTATATTTAATTATTTTTTGAAATAATTAACTTTAAGTCGTAAATAATTGTAACCCGTTTTCCTAAACAAACACTACCGACAACTACACACATAAGGTACACACATTACTAAAAATAACTAATTGTCTCAAAAGTGACTCAATTTGGGCCCTATATAAGTCACTATGTGTACAACACAGACGTACAGTCAATATAAAAATGTAATTATCAATAAAAACACACGAGTTGTGTTTTCGCACTATTTGTGCATAAAATCTATGAATAATTCATTTCAATTCAATTTGATATATTAAATATTTACAAACTTATTAAAACGTATTAAATTATATTTGATTAAATTACTTATTTTACTTTACACGATTATTCTAATGATATAGTGCCCAATTATTTTTATTATTTTAATATTACATGTATTTTTATTTTTAACATAAATAATTTGAGCATTATATGCATTATTTGTTAGACTTGATTTATTGAATTGAATTTATTGATATTTAGACACGTAATGCATACAACAAAAGCTGATTTCCAATACAGACGTGGAATATGGATTTAACAATAAATTTTAACCACAATTCTGTACATAATTGAGATTTAATTGATAGCTCTGCCCCCTCCTGAACCCCGCCCCCCATACATTGAAAATAATATGGCATTCAGTATATGGTTATAATTTAACAATATGTTTGTTATTTTATAGCCATAAATTGCTAATCAGTTTATACATGTAAAACGTTATAAATTATAGCAATTTCAATATGTTTTACTTTTATTTTATATCATTTTAATTTTTACTACAAATAATTAATCCAGTGTTATTTTGTATAGATGGTCAGGCACCTTATGTGACGTAATTTATGTCAAAAACCAGTAGCCCAGGCTGTAAGAAAATAAGACCAGATTAATACCAAAATAATATTATAATATAACAATTCGGATATTAATACAAATATTGCTATAATCATAGCATTGAAGCATTGATTAAATATAAAATAAAGTGTCTCTAAATTTAAAATATCATATTTAGGATAAAATATATTTTCAAACTTGGTATTAATATTAATATTCAAATAAAACTTGTTCGACCAATAGCTTATAAGATTCGCTTCGATTATATGGGAAAGACTGTAATTAAAATTTATTGTTATATTAATTATTTATATTAACCAATATTAACTAAACAATCAATGTAAAGTTAAACATACAGTTTGTTAATTGGCGTCAAATACGGCGACTCTTTTTGTAAACCAATTGATGTTAGAAACATTGTCATGTAGTGATCACCATGCTCATTTGATAAATAATGATTAGTTATATTGTTTGTCAATAACGTATATTTTAAAGATTCCCGACCATGAACAATAGAGTATTTATTAGTCTTTTGTTGCAATATATATAATAAATATTTATCATCTGTTTCAATATAATTAAATGCATTCTGTCCCATTTGGAAATTAATTTTATCCTGGTCAAATAAATGTATTAATTTAAAAATTTAAATGATTATTAATATTTATAATTATGCATGCTCTCATGAGCTATTATTTAATACGCACCAACATTGGTTTTATTATAGTATTCTTGTCTAGCACAAGTTTATGACCGTTATTAGCTTGGTTGTTAATTAATTGATCCATTGTCTCAATCCTATGCTCCACAGGAACTGTGATTAATGAATATATTGTACCCGAATATGAAGCGTGCAATACAACCATCATTATAATCCATAAAATATAAATTATGTTATTTGGATATTTGTTAATTGCTTTAAATGCTGTTTGTTTTAGATATATTACAAATATATTCCAACATAACGTATATTTATTATGGGATTTAACGACAGAATTGTTAGTGAATATAACGGCAATGAATAGTGTGATTGTGGTTAGGATTGAGAGCCAAATATAACTGTCGAAGGGTTGCAACAAATTGTGGAAATGGGTTGTCGTCGGCAATGGAGACGTAAACGATAAGTAACTTATTTCATAAGGTTTAGTGTACTCAATATGATTATATCTCATATCTGTCATTATTAATTTAAAGATAATATCAGCTTTCTGGATACAAGCAAAATAAACATAATAGAATTATTATTACAATAAATTAATGTACATTGGTACAATAAAATATTGACATACTGTATCATATATGACATTATTACTCAAATACCTTATCAACGAGTTGTCCCATAGTTCCCGTCCATTTCCCATCATTTGGTTTATAACCATAATCTTGATTACAATATATAATATCATAGCTTTTATTCATATATTTGGCAATTGTCTGCATTAACTCCACATCTCTGCCGCCATTTAATTCGTAAGCATTTTTATTATCATTGTATTTAAGAAACATGTAAGGAGGTAACTAAATGTAAATAATAAAAATAATCAACTTTAAAATTTAATTTAAAAAATAATATTTTTAATTACATTATTTATGGCTAGGCGTAGTCTATTTTCACTAAAATTGTGCATTATTTACTGGATACTTATTTGATTAAAATTAAACTATACTTTGATTTGTACTTTGCATGTATTTTATATTGATAATTTTTGTATAATATAATTCATTTAATATGACAAGTATGATTTTTATAAAGAACATTAATAAAAATCAATATATTAAATTGCATTATGTATTTATGAATAATCATATAAACTTCATAAAGATTTATAAATACAATAAAAATTAATTAAATAATTTAATTATTAAATGTACTACACTGCAACTTCTTTAGTAGAAACTGCCAGTTAAATTGATTATAAATTTAATTATTAATGACATTTTCAATGTTTAGTTTATCTCACTTGATTGGCAGTGTACTATCTTAATACCTTATTAAATTAATTTTCAACTATGTTTCTAAATGAATCAATTAATAATACTTGACGTTTTCTAAATTTAGGTAAATTAAGATCAATATTTATCATATTTATTATAGAAATTTTGTTGATGGTTATTTTATTAATTGTTAAATTGACAATAGATTTATTAATAATACTTTTTTATTTATTCAACTTAATGTTAAATTGGTTTATTAATAAGCTATGAATTTTTAGCCATGCGTTATATCAGAATTTTATCTTCAAATTAAACATTAATTAAAATTATATATTAATTTTAAATTATCTTAAAAATTATCTTGGTCGTTTTAAAAGTAAATTTAATTTCAGTAATTTGCTTAGATAATGTTATTTTAACTACTTTTAATAAAAACATATTTGTACTAATTGTGGAGTAAAAGGTGAACACTTCACCGACGACTGCAATAACTCTAAAGACAAAAAAAGTAAGGATAGTCTTTGAAAAACTGAATAAGAATACTTCGCCGGCTCCGCCGGCCGTTTATGTAAACATATATTTGTTATACATTATATCATAATGATTATAATATGTATAAATA